GGCTCACTGCAGCCTTGACCTCTCAGGTTCAAGCCATCCTCCCAACTTACTGCTCCCAAGTAGAGTAGTTGGGACTACAGGCACACCACCGCGCCCAGCTACTTTTTAGAAATTTTTTTTGGTATGTGTAGACACGTGATTTTGCCATGTAGACCAGGCTGGTCTTGAACTCCTGAGTTCAAGTGATCTGCTTGCCTCAGCCTTCTAAGGTGTTGGGATTACAGACATGCACCACCATGTCTGGCCCTGTGTCTCTTCCACTTTTATGCATTTCTTGGCATTCTTCTGCCTTTTCTTTTTCCTGCATCTGACTTGCTCTATCCCATTGGGGTTCTCACCCAGCTGAAGGGGCTACTCCTAGAGGCTAGAGGCGGGAGGGCCCTGTGGCAGGGCAGTAGGGAAGGCCAGCACCCTCACCCTGAGCTCCAGTGTTTGCCGATCTGGCTGGCATAGAGAGATGCAACTGAAGCAGAATTCAGTGGAGGAGGCAGGGCTATAACTGGGCAGTAGGACAGAGAGCAGAGTCAGAGCCCCCTGGGCAGGCCAGAAGGAGGCCCCTGCTCAGCTGACTCTTCCCAACTGCTACCCTTGGTACAACCAGCGTGAGCCACCTGCTGCAGAACAGGGGCTGGACACGGAGGCAGTTTGTGGAGGAAGAATGGGCAGAGGTGTGCATGTCCATTCAGTAGAAGGGCAAAGAGGCCCACATGTAGGCCTATGATCAGACTGGAGCCTGGCTCGACTGAGGCCCTCCAATCTAAACACATTAACCAGTCACCTAATGCGGCCTCCAGCACTGGCCTGGAGTGCTAAAGTGAGTCAGACCTGGGAACCCCCAGTGGGGAGGCAGCCTTGAGAGTTTGGCATAGGAAAGGAAGAAGAGCTGAGCCACTGGAGGCTGAGTGGCTGAACGGGGCAGGGATTCCCAGCAAGAATGAGGTTGGTCTGAGGGTTGGGAACGTGTCTGGCTGGGGCTCTGGGGTATTGACAAGTCACCCAGCCTGGTCAGAAGGGCCTAAGTCACCAGCTGGGATAGGAAGCTGAATCAGAGGGGGCAAGCCTAGAGCTCAGGGAGGAGGCTGGAGGGGTCTGACCTATGGATGGAACTGACTGGGGGTGGGGTGTGAGTTACAGCTCCAGGGAATTGTCCTTGACCCATGTTTCAAGGAGCTGGACACAGGAAAGGCGGACCTCTGATGGGGTCAGGGTCTGTGATCCAGTGACTAGCAAAGAGGCCTCCTCTTCCCTGATGCCTCCCAGACAGGGGCCTCAGAAAGCTGGTGCTGGGATTTTGGGGTGTGGGTGGGCAGGGACCTCAGAGAACTCAGGGTTCTCCCCACTCACCTCTCTGATCTCGCCTGCAGGCCAGCAGCACAGCGTTGCTTTTGCCCGGGTGAACCC